GAGCCCTTCACGAAGGGCAACGGACTCAGCTTCGAAGTTAGAGCTCGCCTCAGGTACGTAAACACCGTGACCTTCGCCGTGAAGCCAGCACAACCCTTCATCCCTGTCTTTGTCAGTAAAGCCGCTCTACCCATTAACCAGGACATAAATTGCTCTCAGATTGAGAAAGCCCACAGCGATGACAGGCTGGAACGTGCGGAATACGAACACGAGCGGTAACTTAAACGCCGACATGATATTTCCGACTGGACTTTTGCAAATCACGGCGATAATCAATGCGCAGTCAACACAACCGCCTCCCTCGCACTCCCGCAGAAAACGAACTAAGGAGAACTTCGGACAAGCAGTAAAGGACAACCGTCATCATATCTCCTGGCTACACCAGTCAGATGGTCGTATCGAGGTCGTGGAAAGCATTTCTTAAGCCAAGGGCTAATACATTTCGTGCATCGATTACATCACTAATTATGTGGTCCAAATACGTGATTTCAATCCAGGATGCGCAAAACCCAACTTGTTGGAAGTCTTAGCACACCAGGGGAGATAGAGACATAAGAATCCTTGGGTCGGTCGAGTAATATATCTTTTGAATTGGCAACTGTCATGCATGGAAAAGCAGAAAACATGTTTGTTATTGGTCAGTCGGTAGAAATCGGTGGTCTATATTACTACACGGGCTCTTCCTCTGCCTTCACATTACAAGGATGAAATAGGAGAAGAAAGCTATAACATAAGGCCCTATAACAAGCACACCTGAAGAAATAGAATTGACGGCAAACTCACCTCCCTTTCCAACAAGTCTGTAATGCAGCCCAACAAAGCGTCAAGCTGGTCAATTTCTTTTTCCCCTAAGGTCGCCGCCTCTTCACCGGTACCCTCATAAGCAAGGCATTGCAATGAGGCAGCCAGCAACAAATTTCCAGCCAGGATGCAGGCATTTCCACGTACCTGTGGGTCAGTATGCCGCATCAGGTGTAGCGCCAAGTCAGCTGCAGTGGAAAAAACGATGCTATTATTTATAATATATGTATGCTACTAGCAACCTACAAGTAGTAGTTATTATATACATATTTACCGCCAGTGATTTGAGATAAGGGAGATTGGTCAGGAGAGGACTTTCCAAAGAAGAGCTCGAGATGCAGGGCCTCGAGAAACTCCTTAGACGAGCTTTTTGAAAGCTGACTTAAATACGAAACTGCCAACATCTGAGAAGATGTCCTCGAGGGAGGAGCCGCGTGGATGTTGTTCAACGTGCGGAATTCAGTAGGCAAGAGATCAAATCGAAGAGCAAAGAGAGGCAGAATCCACTTGGCGGGTGGAAACAGCTTGCCCGAGAGAATTTCTTCAAAAATGTCGAGGCGCAGAAACTGCGTCGATTGGGCGGCGTTTTCGGCTGGCGCATCAGTGTTTTCGGAGCAGAACTCTTGATCCACTTCAGTTTCGCCTTCCAAACAAGCACCTAGGAAAGTCAGAGGGAACTGCCGTGAAAGGATACGGACCGTACAAAAGGGTTAGCTAGGTATCATTTCCGGAACGTAAAAACTGTCTGCTCTGTCCAAAGACGGTGCATTCGCCTCTGTATGACAGTAAAGGTCCTACGACACTTAATCATTTTCCATAGTGACAGTACGATATTAGCTGCCAGTATGATAGATAGTGGCGTAATGGTATACGTCTAGTTGTACATTGGCAACTTATGGATATTATGCGGGTAGTCTGCAGTAGCTGGCGAATTTCAGCTCAAATATTCATACTAACTTGCGGCGCAAGCCTTAATTGGCTTGTTCCAATGGATTTACTCCAGGTTCGTGCATTAATTCCCTCGGAAAATGAAAAAAGCAGATCCTGCGATGCCAAATTGAGAAAACCTCCGAGGCTTTGGGCAATAACAGTGGCAGTCTGTTCAACGTTGCAGAAGGTAATACATTGAGTGACTATTACAGATAAGGTTCCGGGGTGGAGTTGATCAGAGGCCCGGAAAGAGGCGAATTGCGTATTAATCGATAAACACAACCATAAATGGGAAACTATAATAAGGTTATAGATACAATCTTGCGACTGTCGTGTTTGTTGCCTTACATGGGCGACTTCCTTGAGCTGGCCATTACCATTATCGCAAGAGGACATCCTCCAAAACTGTGTTACTGCGGTAGGACTGGAGACAAGGTTCTTCTCCAACCGCGTGATACAGGCATGGAATGCTCTGCCTGCGAATACTGTCATGCTCCTATCGGTGGAGATTGTCAAGATGAAGCGTGACCACTACAGCCATACGTACCAACACGCCGTCAAAAGCTAACGCACGCCTGACGTTGAGACACCATCCCCGAAATGTACACGTTATAAAACATACTACTCTCTATTTTACAGTAATATTACTTTTATAGTTGTTCATCAAACGTTCTGTTTGCATCGGCGTCTTTCTTTGCTGGGTGAAAGTCGGGTTCGTAGCTACCGCTCTCTTTCTACAGCCGCCTACATAGCGCACAGTGCCCATGTCTACTGCTGAACGTTGATCAATACTACAGTTTTCCGCCACCAATAAGGAGGACGGTAAAAGTGCCCCAAGGACAGTTTACAGTATCCGGGTCAACCGGACATCCATGAAGACCCTAGTAAGCCATCGGAAGTATGGTAAACTCTGGCAGATATTGACAGCGCAATCCCCAAAGCCAAAAATAAAGTTGCCGCCGACCGACTCCAGGTGTTTTCACTGCCAACGTCATTTGGGTCTCACACGGATCTTGTGGGACACTTTCGCGTCGATCGCAGCTCCGACGCCGCTGCCACCATCAGCGTCAAAATCAAAAAGAGCAACCTGCGGAATAAAGTTAAAGCTGGTTAACCGTTAAACGGCCCTTCAGCACTGGGAGCGCTCCCTCCGGGAGGTGAGGGTAGTTGGGAGTCACGACGCCTCAGGAGATCCTGC